AAGTCTGAGTCCATTATCACTCCTAGATTTCTGACCTGATTTGAGGGTTGTAGAGAGAGAGCCTGGAGGTGACAAATAACGCTCTCTCTTTGTTTCTGGGGTCCGAAAACAATTATTTCAGTTTTGTCGGTGTTTAGTTGGAGAAAGTTATTTTGCATCCAATCACCGATTTGCTGGACACAGTGAAGGAGCGAGTCCACTGGTTCATGCTCTCCTGCTGTCAGGGACACATAGACCTGAGTATCGTCAGCGTAATTGTGATAAGAGACATTATTACTGTGAATCAACTGACCTAGAGGCAACATGTAAATATTAAACAGAAGAGGACCCAGGATTGACCCCTGTGGCACTCCGCAGGTCAGGGCCAAGTGGTCTGAGGTACAGTTTTCGATCTCCACAAAAAACTTTCTGTCTTGTAAATAGGACCTAAACCAGCTTAGGGCGGTGCCAGCAACACCAACCCAGTCCTCAAGTCTCTGAATGAGGATGCCATGATCAATAGTGTCAAAAGCAGCACTTAAATCTAACAGAAAAAGGACTGAGACTTTTCCTGCGTCAGTGTTTAGTTTGATGTCATTTGTTACCTTTATTAGCGCGGTCTCAGTGCTGTGGTGGGGTCTAAACCCTGACTGGAACATATCATAAGCGTTATTGATTATTAAAAATTCTGTAAGTTGTTTATAGGCAACTTTTTCTAGAATTTTTCCCATGAAAGGCAGATTTGAAATGGGCCGATAATTTTTGAGTGCCAGGGCTTCCAGACTCCTCTTTTTTAGGAGGGGCCTGATGACCGCCGTTTTCAAGGCCATTGGGAATGTTCCAGATTCAAGAGACATATTAACTATTTGTGTAAGTGAAGGTAAAAGACTGCTCAGAACTGACTTGAGAAATCTAGGAGGTAATACATCCAGGCTGCATGTGGAGGAACTCAGACTAGTGATTATCTCCTGGACAGTTTCAATTTGTACTGGTGTAAAGTGCGTCAGCCCAAAAAGCCTCACTGGCGGTTGGATTATTATTTCTATCGTGGAGGTGATGGCGTTTTTGATACCTTGGACTTTGTCATTAAAGAACTGAGCAAACTCATTACATTTAGATTTGGAAGTAAGTTCTGATGGCATCTTAACAGGGGGATTCGTCAATCTATTTACTGTTGAAAACAGAACACGTAGATTGTTGCTACAGCCTTCAATAGTTTCAGAAAAGTACATTTCCCTCGTTCTACGTAGTTCCCTGTTAAAATTGCACAACGCATCTTTGAAGATCTCATGGTCAACTTTGAGATTTGACTTTTGCCACTTCCGCTCGGCCTTCCGGCACTCTCTCTTCTGTGCCCTGACCGAGTCTGCTTTAGTCCATGGCGCTTTTTGCTTGTTTGTAACTATTTTAACCTTTACAGGAGCAATTGTATCCAGAACATTCAAAACAGTGGTGGTGACAGAGTCAAGTAATTCATCTACAGTAACACACAACGTGTTCTCAAAGTTTACCCTCCCCATGAACAGTTCGCCTGTATTATCATTTATGTGTCTTCTTCTAACAACCGAAGATTCAGCTGGTGGTTTACAATCAAGACACATGTCAAAAAATACACAGAAATGATCAGACAGAGCAACATTGACCACATTTACATTTGAAATATTAACCCCCTTGGTAATTAACAGATCGAGAGTGTGTCCTCTGCTGTGGGTGGGGCCACTCACATGCTGAGTGAGACCAAAGGTTTCCAGCACAGAGCTCAGCTCTATTGCATATCTATCATTAGCATTATCTACATGTATATTGAAATCACCTATAATGACTAAACCATCAAAATCTGTGCACACAACTGAAAGTAACTCAGTGAAATGATCAGTGAAACTATGGCATGACTGTGGCGGCTTGTACACAACAATAATAAGAATGGAAGAAGATTTCTTTTGTTCTATTTTAAAAGAAACATACTCAAATGATGAAAATTTTCCAAGAGACACTCTATGGGAGACAATACGATCTTTAAAAACTGCTGCTATGCCCCCCCCCCCTTTTATTTTCTCGTGTTTCATATTCAAATTTGAAATTTGGTGGTGAGGCTTCTATTAAAACTGCATCTCCTGTATTATGGTCAAGCCATGTTTCAGTCATAAACATAAAATCAAGATCATACGAACAGATACAATTATTAATTAAAAATGATTTGTTGCATAGTGATCTGACATTAAGTAGAGCAAGGTTAAAATTAATATCAGTGTCAGTGGGTTTAGTTGATTGATTACAAAGAACTGGAATTAGATTTCCAGAGCTGGACCGTCTGACTGCTGTCCTTCTTTTAATTTGTGTTTATTCAAGTTAAAACACATTTCTGAGCTGGTGCGAGGAACACACACAGTCTCTATTGGTTTAAAAAGTGAACTCTGTTGTACTTTGTTAAGTTCCAGATGCATAACTGAGTCAGCACAGTTCAGTGGCAGGACTGTCGTTACACTGCCAGACGGACAGGGGTCAGTGTTTGCACCACAGTACTCACCCGGTGCTGATAAGGAGGAGGAGGGGGGTGGTGGGGGCCGAGAAGCCTCAGATGTAAACAGTCACGCCCCCCTCGGGGAGCACTGAACAACATGGCGTAGGAAGTCCGTCAACAAACTGGTGCCGTATCTGTTCGGGTGCAGACCATCTGGACGATAGGCCACGTGACGCTTCCAGAACAGGCCAAAGTTGTTCACAAAAATAAAGTTAAAAGTGCTGCATGTAGACTGGAGCCACATGTTGAGCGCCACAACGCGACTGTAGAGGCAGTCACCCCGGTTTACAGTCGGGACTGGACCAGAAATAAAAACGGATAACCCGGAGGACTGGAGGAGGCGGAACAGATCCATAAAGTGCTTCTTTGTGACCTCGGACTGCTGCAGCTTCATGTCGTTGATCCCCACATGCACGATTACCTTGGATATGGTATCAGGCAGGGAGTGAAGCAGAGGAGGGAGACGGATGAGCAGATCTGGGACAGTAGCTCCGGTAATGCAGTGAGTGACCGCGTTAAAAAAGCGGACGTGCCTCACGATGGAATCTCCAACAATCAGAGTAGTCGGGGCGAAGAGTGGACGCGGCCGCGGAGAGGGCGCTCGGTGTCCATGGCCAGAACCAGCGGGCTCATCCAGGGATGGGTCCGAACCAGGGCGCTGCTGAACACATGGAGAGGAGTGGGGGTGTTGATTCTCAGCTCCGGGCAACCCACGCTGTGTGCACGGAGACGCTGGAGCGGCGAGAGGAGCAGGCTCGGGTCGCTGCTGTTGACCCGGTGAAGGTAAGTGGTGGTGATGCACTGGGGTCAGAGAAGGGGAATGACCACTCTTTCGTCTGAGGACAGCTTCCTTTAGGAGTGTTTTTCTCGCAGTGGACCTGGATCCACGGACAGCAGTAGAGTTTGTTGCAGAGTCCAGAGGTTCTGCTGAGGGGGCTGGGATGTCAGCGGAGAGGGCTGCATAGCGGTTTGAAAGGCTCAGGACATGGGCCACGGCGCTGGATGGCTCCTCGCAGTCCGCAGGCTCTTTATTCCGAACCGGGCACTTAGGTGTAGAACAAGAGGGCCCAGAGCTGACAGATCTCTCCCACACGACAGTGTCACAGTATGCAGCGCTCAGTGACATAAGCCGTGAGTGCTGCCCGCCAGCGACATCAAAAAGTTTGGACACGAGTGACTGGATTAGGCACATTAGTACTCATTATTCACAATAGATAATGAACGCTAAAAGATACAGTGAAACAAAATATACAGTATAACTCAGAGAGAGAGGATATATGTAGCTGCTTTGTTTCTTAGCTGTAAATCCTTTAATATCAACATATCCATATATCTCTATCTATATCTATATATATATATATATATATATATATTGTGTAAAGTTCAGTGGCGGACCGTGAGTTTCGCACATAGGCCTTCAGTAGTGCTCGTCTGAATGAATCCACCTCTCAATAACTACTTATCATGAAGTAGATCCGACCGTGCAATCTGAGCTTTATCAAAACATGATGCGATCACTGTCCCTGTCTCTCTAACAGCCTGCTGGGGCTCTGCAGATGGAAATTAGCCTGAGGCTATAATCTGGCATATTTACATTTGTGAAAATGTTCATCAATATGTATTGTTCCTTCTTCTTCCTTCTTCTTGTTAAATTCTAATTCCTTTGGCGAGCTACCTGTAAGGGGCTGGCGAGCTACTGGTGGCTCCCGAGCTACAGGTTGGAGACCCCTGGTCTAACGGCTGGGGTTACGTTTCTAGCCTCGGAGTTACTCAAACTTTCATAAATGTCCAGCTTTTTTAAAGAAGTCCTTCTTCAAAATAGCTTCAATAATAAACCTGCAACGAGTCGAGTTCTTCCCCTTTCAGCCACTGTAGGTTCTAAATCAACACGAATATCGTTCAGCTATCAACAGAGGCAGTTTGCTTGTTTTAGCTAGTGCGCTCTCCGACAATCCAATCAAGGTGTGGGAATAGAATACGCTCACGTTACTATACGTCTGCTCAAAGGCCTTGGTTCGTCAACTCAAAATCTGATTGGTTAAAGCAAAAAAAGTTTGGGAATCCCTGAATAAAAGGACATACGTACACATTATTTGTCTATTGTTTATTTCACACATAATTTTTCATATTAACCTCAGCCCCAACTGCAGATTGTAATGTGTCAAACCTCAACCTTTTATTTTTTAAGTGTCTTGGCCTTGGAAGGAAATTGCTTTGAAAGAGAATCCGGAGATGCTTCATCCTCTGCTTTGCATTTACGTGGGAGCTGCGTCAAAAATGTGTCCGTCTTATGCCAGCAGTGTCATTTAGCCTTCTGTATGATTCCCGCACTTTGGGAAACACTGGGTTGAAACAACAGTCTGATAGACACTTATTTTATGCTACGGAGTCCGCAGAACTGATTCTGAGGCCTCCAGGCACATTTCTGACTAACAACAAATGGCTGAACGTGGATTGGAAGCAGCGCAACCATTGTCCGGTATAGAAGAACCAAACACCTTCACTGATCCAGCCACTGCCCCCTCTCCAGCATCTGACTGACATAGTGACAGAAGCAGACCCCTCCAGGCAGGTGACCGCTGGAGCCACTGGGGGGCGCTGTGGTGAAAGGGAAGTGCTTCTTAGCAAGACAACACGTGTACCCCGAAGAAAAATACAAAAGCGCTCGGCGAAACATGTCCTCGGAGCTGGTCTGCGCCGAGAACTGCTTCTCAAACTCCTGTCTGCAAGAGTCCAGTGAAATATAAACCAGGTAGATCTTGGATGTGGACCGACAACCCATCAGCACTTTCTGCGCGAACATGAGAACGTTCGCTTTTCCTACAGCTTTCTGCATTTCCAATAAGATTCGTCTGCGGTCATCGTATTTCCAAAAACAGAGCTGGATTAAAATGCCAAGTGGAACAACAAAAATAAGAACCAAACTAGGGACAACAAATGACAAAGGCGCCTCTGATAAAATACCATAGGGAAGTATTGTTGCGGTGGCAAATACAAGCATCGACATCCAACCCGCAACAAATAACACCCCAGCGATGTAAGCAACAACGCGCTTCCACAGCGGCCGCAGCCAGACCTGGGTTTGGGAGACCTGGTTGATGATGGCCATGGCCGCCCTGTAGGTGCTTTGGTCACGGACGATGAGCCGCAGCTGGTCTGGGACGTCCATTTCGCTGTAGACCCCGGCGTCCCACGAGTTCAGGCTGTCTTCGTTGGCGGCGGTGAGCGGGAGCAGAGCTTTGCCGTTGTAGACCGAGGGAGGTTGATACGGCACCACGGACGAGCCTCGAAGATCACTGAGGAAGGAAGGATTTGAAACGTAGGTCATCACTGAACAGGGTCACCGACTTTAGAACAGAAAAATAAGGGACACCATTTGGGTGGATCGGGTTGAGAACTTTTTAGTCCTATAGTCAATCTACACAGGAATCATGGAATTTTATATTCACAGTTTTTATTAATTGACCATATATAAATAAAACAAATCAAAAATTAAATTAAATAAACAGGTGGAACTCTTTGGTTGGTTAAGGACTGAATGCATGCTTATTATTCAAAACAAATTGAATTATTGATCATATCAGTGAATTTGGTGACCGAGATTCATATTCAAAATATTAAAATATAAAACAAAAGTTGAAATCAAAGTTTGTAGCAGTTATCTATGGTCATTATGTATAGTGTCTGAGAGTTTAGTGCGTGGACATGGCTTCACGTAAAAGCTATTGTTCGTTCACAAAGCCGGTCTTGACATTTGTTGACGCTCCCTAAGCGCTTTTCTTGGTGCTTGCAGCGCATTGGTGGATCAATGGATTTTTCAGCATTAAAACAGTCTATTGTGTGTACCTAGTGAACTTGTATAGTAATTTTAAGAGATTAAGATTTATTTATGCATGCTTTTAATACCCTTACTCTTAGTCATCATTATTGCTTTGTTATCTATTCATTGCTATTCACCCGCTCTACCATTGTCTGTTTCATGGCATGAGCTTGAACCCATGCCATGCTTGAACCTGAACCCGGCCTGCGCAAGCGTCATGCGTCACCGGCATGCGTTTTTTCACATATCCCAGCCCTGCAGCCATTTTGAAAAAGCCCCACAGAAGGCAAAAGCGGTGGCACATTAGTTTCAACGGCCTTACTACATCCGTTAATAATTACAAAAGGCAAACACACCGACTCTGACTCTGACCCTGGGCTGAGGTCTGACCTGTTGGGCGTGCACAGGACGTGGAGCAGCTTGTTTATAAAGTCCGGGTGTCGGGCCTCGATGTAGGTCAGGTGACACAGGTGCAGAGGCACACACACGTCCTGGTCCAGCAGAACGGGGACCATGGGCTTCCTCTCCAGACAGTCCCGGAACAGAGACATGTTGGCCTCCAGCAGACACCAGCGGCTGCGTACGAACTCCGCGCTCAGCACCAGCAGCACCTTCTGGCTCTGCGTGATGCACTCCGACATGTTCTCCAGGATGGTGCGTCCCGGGGTAAAGTCCCGCTCATGGTAGCACACACTGAGACCAGCGCCCTCCAGGACGTCCACCAGAGAGAGGGTCCAGCTGAGGACCAGAGGAGACGGTACAAGCAAGTTAAAGGACACAAACTGGTATGGAACAAGACACGCTGTACTGTGGAACTATGGAACAACTCTGTACTGGGATAACTGTGATATCTGTACGGCCTATGCTAAAGTTAGGGATATTATTATGCTAAAGATTTTTATTATGCTAAAGCTAGAATTTTTATAATGCTAAAGTTAGAGATTTTATAATGCTAAAGTTAGAGATTTTATACTTCCTTCTTGTTTAAAGCTAGACATTTTAGAATTGCTTCTTCATAATGCTAAAGAATTAGTATTTTTTTTAGAATAGGGTCTAAGCCTCCTGACACTCGTACCTGTAGTCAGTGCTGCTGTAGCTTAAGAAGACGTGGTAGGATTCATTCTCTCTCAAAGTGGGCGGGATTAATTTACACATGTTTGATGATTGGGCGTCAGAGCTGTCAGTCACAGGCAAAGGCTCCATCTCTAAGAGGCACAAAGAACACTGGCAATTTCAAAATCATAGAGTCACGTCAAGCAGACATCATAGAGTCACAACAAGCAGACATCATAGAGTCACAACAAGCAGACGTCATAGAGTCACAACAAGCAGACGTCATAGAGTCACAACAAGCAGACGTCATAGAGTCACAACAAGCAGACATCATAGAGTCACAACAAGCAGACATCATAGAGTCAGAACAAGCAGATGTCATAGAGTCACAACAAGCAGACATCATAGAGTCACAACAAGCAGACATAGAGTCACAACAAGCAGACATCATAGAGTCAAAAGAAGCAGACATCATAGAGTCACAACAAGCAGACATCATAGAATCACAACAAGCAGACGTCATAGAGTCACAACAAGTAGACATCATAGAGTCAGAACAAGCAGACGTCATAGAGTCACAACAAGCAGACATCATAGAGTCACAACAAGCACACGTCATAGAGTCACAACAAGCAGACATCATAGAGTCACAACAAGCAGACATCATAGAGTCACAACAAGCAGACATCATAGAGTCACAACAAGTAGACATCATAGAATCACAACAAGCAGACATCATAGAGTCACAACAAGCAGACATCATAGAGTCACAACAAGCAGACATCATAGAGTCTGCTTGTTGTGAAAATGATAATTATTAAAGAAAATATTAACAAAATATTTTGACTTTGAACAGAATCCATTTTTCTCCACGAGTGAGATTCTTCTTCTTCTACAATAATTCAGACGTTGTTTGAGAGTATTCTGGGCACAATGGCACTTCCCTTTCCGTCTGTAAAGGTTGACACATCAAAAGTGATGCTTGTTTCTCCCCGGGCTGGTGTCCTACTTTTTATTTTCAAATCTATGAGTCCAAGAAAACTACTATAAACACATTTCTGAATGACGTATGCTCATGTAGGATCATATTCTAACACTGCTGGTATTTTGACTTTTGCTGGGATTCACAAAAAAAGATTATTTCTAATCACGCCGGCTGCATAAAATAATAAATCTAATCTTTAAAACTCTGCAATAACATTGAGCCCAGAGCCGGGTCCTGAAGCTGCATTAATCTGACCGGACTGTAACGAGCCTACCTGACTGTAACAATCCTACCAGACTATAACAATCCTACCTGACTGTAACAATCCTACCTGACTGTAACAATCCTACCAGACTATAACAATCCTACCAGACTATAACAATCCTACCTGACTGTAACAATCCTACCAGACTATAACAATCCTACCAGACTATAACAATCCTACCTGACTGTAACAATCCTACCAGACTATAACAATCCTACTTGACTGTAACTAGCCTACCAGACTATAACAATCCTACCTGACTGTAACGAGCCTACCTGACTGTACCGTTGTCTGCAGGAGCTCCGTCGGTTCAGGATTAGCAGGAAAATGTGTCTTGTCTTAGAAAACAGAAGTCACTGGTTTCTGTTTCAATCCGCCTCCTTTTCTACTTCCTCTCATCAGAGCAGCTGCAACAAACCCCAACGTACAACAACCTCATAATGACAAAAGAATTATAGATTTTTTTTTTACGCAGCTGAAAGACTCAAAGGCGTTTCACATGTCATTATTCATTCTCTCCATACACGGTGGTGATAAACTACTGTTGTAGCCACAGCTGCCAACCACCAACCATTCACACACACACCAGACTAATTCTAATATCGGAGAAGTGACTTGCCCAAGAACACAACAACAGTTTGGCACTTTACAGCCGAAGCCGCCCCACTATGGCACCTGCTGTTCCCAGAGGTCTCCCATCACAGCACTGACCAGGCCCTACCCTGCTTAGGTTCAGAGGTCTGACAGGATCTGCCGGCATAGGCGCATATAAAAAGATAACAGGAGAGTTCTGTATTAGAATAGAAAGCGCTGCGTAGGATAAAAGTGAATGAGGAAATGTGCCTTTTTACATTTATTTTGGATCAAAACTGTGAATTTTAACAGTCTGTAACAATCAGCCACACGTGTCTTCTTTAAAGCTGGGGTACCTAAATATAAGACCACAACTACTGAAAATATAAATGACTAAAAGCAGTTCAATCTGGAGGGACTCAAACAGACAAAAGGAGGCTGTTAGAATCGCAGATATTGGTTGTCATGGTAACAAGTGCGAATCAGTGCATAACTCTGCAGACGTTATGTGAAAGAATGACATTTACTGCTGCTGTATCTGATGAAATGTTGTCTGTCTGCTTTGTTCTGCTGTATTCATATTTACTGTTTTTGACTGTTTTATGCTGACTGTGCAACACTTTGTAAACACTGTTTTTGAAAAGTGCCAAACATTGCCAAGCACTGTGACGAATGCAGAAGAGGAAATACAAACAGAGATTACAACATCGCTATCATAATAAAGAAACAAGCATAACATCTCTAACTTTAGCACGAAACAGAAGCTAGTATAAAATCTCTAGCTTTAGCATAATAAAGAAGCTAGTATAAAATCTCTAACTTTAGCATAACAAAGAATCAGAAGTATACTGTATAGGAGTATGTACAGTATACATCTGCACATCTTAGCAGCATGAGGGTCTCGGACACAGTTCTGTATTGCACATTCTGACATATTGCACATTGTGACGTTACATATTCAATCATCTCTGTTCTAGTCCTTCTTTTAGTTCTTACACTGTTATAAGCATAAAACAAGACAGTTCAAGAGGGAAGACTGTAGACGGAACACAGCAAACACAATCAAAATGTCAAGTGCCGCGTTTCCAGGTGCCTGAGGCTTCGGTTAGCTCTGCTCCTCCCGAACATACATACACACACGCACACACACACACATACGCACACGCACACACACACGCACACACACACACATCATCGGACACTGTGATCCCTGTGGCTCCTAATGTCCTTTACGAGGAGCAGGGAGGCCAGGGATGTTTGGAGAAATGAGGTTGGCTGGATTTTTAATATAGGTTGATATTGGAGCGGCCGCGGGTCACAGACGGACTGAGGAGATGAAGGGAGTTTTTGAGCGTTTCTCTTTAGTCACCGTGTTGTGTTTATGATGAAATAGTACGGCATGGGTCAGAGGGGGCGAGAAGGAATGAAGAATAAACCAGGAGAAAAGAGGAGAGGAGGGACCAGAGAGAGACTATAGCGCGATAGACACCAGGGAGAGAGCCTATATAGTGAGAGAGCAGGGAGAGAAACTAGCGAACGAGAGACCAGCAAGAGACTAGACACAGAGAGAGAGAGAGAAAGAGAGACCAAGCAGAGATATAGACCAGAGAGAGAGAGAGAGACTAGTTAGTGAGAGAGACCGGAGAGAGACTAAACTGAGAAAGACCAGCAAGAGAGAGAGAGTGACGAAGGAGAGAGAGAGGCCAGAGAGACCAGGGAGAGTGGACAAGGGTCAGTAAGATAAAGTACAAATATAAAATATCCAAAATAGGCAGAGAGAGTGAATTTGTAATCTGAGAGTAGGATTTTAGTGATTGCCAATTCTATTTTGGGATCCATGTTTATACTTTCCCTCCCTACCCTCTACAGGTGGGTGGAGAGGTCCTTCCTCAAGTGGAGGAGTTCAAGTATCTCTGGGTCTTGTTCACGAGTGAGGGAAGGATGGAGCGTGAGATTGACAGGCGGATCGGTGCAGCGTGCGCAGTGATGCGGTTGCTGTATCGGACCGTTGTGGTGAAGAGGGAGCAGCGTCTGCAGTCCGAGCTGTATCGGACCGTTGTGGTAAAGAGGGAGCAGCGTCTGCAGTCCGAGCTGTATCGGACCGTTGTGGTAAAGAGGGAGCAGCGTCTGCAGTCAGAGCCGAAAGGCAAAGCTCTCGATTTACCGGTCAATCTTCGTTCCCTCCCTCACCTATGGTCATGAGCTTTGGGTAATGACCGAAAGAACGAGATCGCGGATACAAGCGGTCGAAATGAGCTTCCTCCGCAGGGTGGCTGCTCCCTTAGAGATAGGGTGAGGAGCTCGGTCACACGGGAGGAGCTCGGAGTAGAGCCGCTGCTTCTTCACGTCGAGAGGAACCAGTTGAGGTGGCTCGGGCATCTGTTCCGGATGCCTCCTGGACGCCTCCCTGGGGAGGTGTTCCGGGCAAGTCCCACCGGGAGGAGGCCCCGGGGAAGACCCAGGACACGCTGGAGGGACTATGTCTCTCAGCTGGCCTGGGAACGCCAGAAGAGCTGGAGGAAGTGTGTGTGGATTGGGAAGTCTGGGCGTCTCTGCTTAGACGGCTGCCCCCGCGACCCGGCAACGGATGAAGCGAAAAAAGATGGAATGGAATGGAATGTTTATATTTTAAACATTTCTGACACTACTAATTTTAAGCCGATGGAAAGAAGATAGATAGGTCTCTCTTGGTAGACCAAGAGAGACCAGAGAGAAACCAGAGAGAGACCAGAGAGAGACCAGAGAGAGACCAGAGAGAGACCAGAGAGAGGTTCTTTATAGCCGCGTTCAGATTGGATCATGCGTGGCGTCGGCTTTCAATGCAAAGTCAATGGTAACGCGCGTTCGAGAGTCAAAACGCTCGAGCGTCTCGGAATGCACAAACGGACTGCTACGGACTGCTCTGTAGAGACGCACGGACTGCTCTGTAGATATAAAGTTATATAAAGTCACCGTGAATACATACTGCTGTTATATAAAGTCACCTCCGTGAACACATACTGCTGTTATATAAAGTCCATGGAAGGTCTCTGAACACAGACGTGCTGCAGAGCTGCATTATTGGAGATTAACTTTACACAAAAAGCCGCTAGCTTAACTCTGTTAGCATCAAAGTCCGCCGGCTACTTCCGCCACTTCTGGCACTCGCCAGGACTTGTGGTGTGAAGACCCGTGCTTCTGAAAACTAGAGAATGTGCATCTGGTGAGCGAGGTTTCAGCGTTCCAGCGTTGGCGGTGTGAACACAGCTTAAGAATCCAGATTCACTGACTCTTTTAGCTCCTGGAAAAGCCATGTTCCAGCTTCTTCCCTCTGGCAGAAGATCTTGT